AAAAAAGAACTACAAGAAAGTTGTGTGTGAAACAACTTTTAAGTGCTGACCCCGAAGGCGTCCTCCTGCTCAGACTGCACATGGGCAAGCTGGGGTTAGCTGCCAACACGTGGACACTGACTCATGGGGATGACCTGGGTCTGCAGGGCGGAGTGACATTGTCAGAGGGAAGGGCTTTCCCTCTCACATATGCCCCTGGAGCGGTCCCAGTCACCTAGGGTCAGTGCTAAAATCAAGGTCCCAGCCCCCCAGCAAATCTCCTGGCCCAGGGCTCTTTGTGGAGGGAGCTCCTGGAGCTCCAGGTAGCAAGTGACCAGGTGATGTTCCCGCACAGCCTGGCCTGGGAACCTCACGGAGGCAGCCAGCCCTTCAGGGTGTGGTCAGTGTCCTCGTGTCCACGCCAGGCCCACCAAGAGGCGCCGCTTGCCTTTAAGGTGCCTCTGGCCCTGGAACAGGGCCTGAATTTGGTAACCATTTTGACCCTTTCCCAGCTGGGTGACCTTGGGCAGGGGGAGCTCATTTGCTGGCCTCGTTTCTGTCCTTTAGAAATTAAACGCATATGGTGTTTCTAAGAGCATTAGAGTAAGCAGCATAGATGGAAGTAAGTGCCGGGCTCCGTCTCTGCCTCTTACCAGTGTAGGAAAATGTAACATCTCTCTTGCTTTTGTTCTTTTTAGCTATGCTGAATTGATGTTGTCCCTAACAGGAAAAGGGTTTCGCTACCTCCTGGCTATTCTCCTTTATGACCCAACTAAGCATCCAGGTAAGGGTGATTTCTGTTACTTTTTCTCCTCTTCTTTGCCACGGTGCCTCTTTTTCTTTTTATTGAAGATATAATTACGTGCCAACTCTACGGCACCGGTGACAACAGCAACACCAGATGAGGAGGACAGAGAGGGCTGGCAGCCCTGCCACGGACGTAGCATATTTGTCTGATCTGCAGCGGCGGTGGTGGTGATCAATTGGGTAAATGCCCATGTATACATGCTCAAATTGCTGTATAAACTCAGAACTCACTGCCATCCAGTCGGTGCCGATGCGTAGCGAGCCTTCAGGACAGAAGAACCATCCCTGTGGATTTCCGAGAATGGAACTCTTACAGGAGTCGAAAAGCCTCGTCTTTCTCCCACAGAGCAGCTGGCGGCTTCAAATGCTGACCACGCAGTTAACAGCCCACTATGTGACCACTACCCCAGGGCTCCATGAAACGCCTGTGTCCACACAAACACACCAGCACACGCTCCCAGAATGGATGAGAACAAATGCACATGGGATTAGGTAGAGGAAGCAAAAACTCACTGGTTCATAGTGGCCCTACCGGACCGAGCAGAATGGCCCTGTGGGTTCCTAAGACTGTAAATCTTTACAGGAGCTGAAAGCCTCGTCTCTCTCCCCCGGAGCAGCGAGTGGGTTCAAACTGCTGACCTTGTGATTAGCATCCCAGCAAGTAACCACTATGCCACCAAGGCTCCTCTAGGTAGAGAAGTATGTAAGGAATCACTAAGTGATTATGGTTTTTAGAAAGTAGTTAAGATTTTAATGTTTGCTGTGTGTCTTCTTTTATTGCGATCTTTGGCTTTGGAATGTAAAGGGGTCTCACGTTGGAATGGTGGAACACAGGCTACTACTATTTTCCGGAAGAGAGAAAAGCAAAATATGTAGACCTCTTACATACAAAGAGTCCGTCTCGTTTTTGAATGGAGCTTCTCTTTCTTCTTCTTCTTCTTCTTCTTATTTTATCTTATTGGGGGCTCATACAGCTCTTATCACAATCCATCCATCCATCCATTGTGTCAAGCACATTTGTCCATTTTTTGCCATCATCATTCTCAAAACATTTTCTTTCTACTTGAGCCCTTGGTATCAGCTCCTCAATTTTTCCCCTCCCTCCGTACCTCCCACCCTTCCTCACGAACCCTTGACAATGTATAAAAATTTTTTTTCATGTCTTATACTAACCAGTGTCACTCTTCACCCACTTTTCTGTTGTCTGTCCCCTTGGGAGGGCGTTATATGTAGATCATTGTGATCCGTTCCCCCTTTCTACCCCACCCCACCCCCTACCCACCTGGTATCACTACTCTCATTATTGGCCCTGAGGGGGTTATCTGTCCTGGATTCCCTGTGTTTCTAGCTCTTATATGTACCTGTGTACATGCTCTGGTCTAGCCAGATTTGTAAGATAGAATTGGGGTCCTGATAGTGGGTGGGGGGAGAAAGCATTAAAGAACTAGAGGAAAGTGGTATGCTTCAGCGGTGCTATTACTGCACCCTGACGGGCTCATCTCTTCCTTGTGACCCTGCGGTAAGGAGATGTCCAGTTGTCTACAGATGGGCTTTGGGTCTCCATTCAGCAAGCACTCCCCCTCATGCACGTCGCTATGATTTATTGTTCTGGGTCAATGGAGCTTTTCTTAAAAATGGTCTTGTGTTAGAGCTATTTACACCTTAGGTTGTTTTGTTTTGTTTTTCTGTTTAAATAAATCGAATCTTTCAAAACTCATTGAAAACGAGATGTGGTGTCCACCATAAACTCTGAGACACTTGGATGGAGAGCGAGCATAATGGAGGCAGAGTTGAGTGTGTTTTTTGATTCAGCTTCCCCTAGTGGGCAGGACGCCCAGGATCTGTGAGAAGAAAGCACAGTGGACCCTTCCTGGGCTTAAAGGCACCTTCCATATCTCTATGGAAGGTGGCGAGAACTGAACCCTCAGTATGAATGGAAGATACGAAGGCTCCCTAGAAACCAAGTAGAGCCCTGGTGATGTAGTAAGCCTTGGGCTGCTTACCACGAGGTCAGTATTTCGAAACCACCAGCGAGTCCGCAGGAAGAAAATGAGGCTGTCTGTTTTTGAAAAGAGTTACAGTGTCGGGAACCCAGAGGGGCAGTTCTACCCCAGTCTATAGGGTTGCTATGCGTCAGCATCGGCTCCATGGCAGTAAATGAGAGTCAGTAAATGCTCAACTACAGAGTGGGGACACCTTAGAGAACCAATACCCCGGAGGAAAAAGGAAATCCCAAAGGAATATGCTTTTGTACACACACACCCGGCCCCCATCCAGTGGCCCGCATGGTTATGCCCTAGACCTGTGTTTCTCAACCTTCCTAATGCCGCAACCCTTTAACACAGCTCCTCATGTTGTGATGACCCCCCAACCATAAAATTATTTTCGTTGCTACTTCATAACTGTCATTTTGCTACTGTTATGAATTGGGCAACCCCTGTGAAAGGGTTGTTCGAGCCCCAAAAGGGTCGCAACCCCCAGGTTGAGAACCGCTGCCCTAGACTGCTAACTGGAAAGTTGGTCAAGGGAACCCATCTGGAAGTGTCATGACAAAAGGCCTGGCCACCTGTGACCCTAAAATCAGCCCTGGAGAACCCTAAGAGCCTAGTTCCATTTGTCACCTATGGGGTGACCGTGAGTCAGAGTCGACCCAGCAACAACTGGTTTGGGGGTTTGTTTTTTGACTAATCCACCCATGGTTCTCTCTGCCCTCTCCGCTCAGGCAGTGGGCAGCATGCCACCCTGCTGTCCCCATAGAAAGCCAGGCTGCTTCTCTGATGTGGGTGTGCAGAGAAGGGAAAGAAGAGAGGGGAGTCGAGGAGGATAATAAGGAGAAGATTAAGTAAGTGCTGGTAGGATGGGAGTTAAGTGTTTGGGTGCTAATCAAAAGGTCGGTGGTTCGAACCCCCTAACCACTCCACAGAGAAAGAGGAGGCCTTCCGCTGCTGCCGAGGTTCCATCAGGAAGCCTGTGGAGCAGTTCGACTCTGCCCCACGGGCTCACTCGGTGTTGGAACCGGAGCAACAGCACCCAGCGACACGGAGTGAGTCCACCTCTGTTCTTGGGCCTAAGCGGGGAAGTGGGTCCTGAGAATTGCTCTTTAGAACTAGAAGCGTTTACAGAAATGATTTTCTCCCCATACTTCTCTTTCACCCAGGCCCCCCATTTTATGTTCCAGAAGCTGACGTCCAAATGTTGTTTGGTAAGTTGTAGACCTGGACTCTCACCCGTTTAAAATAAAGCCAACTGTGAAGCACTGCGAACTGCTAACTCTCAGTGTTCCTCAACTCACCACCATCCAGTCAGTGCTGTCTCGTAGTGACACCCTGTGGATTTCTGAGATGGTAGCTGATTACAGGAGTAGAAAACCCCATCTTTCTCTCTCAGAGCTGCTGGAGGTTTCCAACTTCTGACCCTTGGGATTGCAGCCCAACTCATAACCACTACACTACCAGGACTCAGTGTACCTAGAAGTACATAAAATGTAAAGGTTCAAGCTCATTTAATCGAAGGCTCTTTTGTCCTAGAGCAAGGACTAAGTAATCGCCGTCTGTGTTAGTCCAGGTTGACTAGAGAAACAAATCCAGGGACACTCATGTCTGTGTAAGAGACAGCTTTATATCAAAGAGTAATTGTATATTAAGAAAACATACCAGCCCAGTCCAGATCAAGTCCACAAGCCCGATATTCCCATAAGTCCGATACTAGTTCATAAATGCCTCCTCAGATGCACATAGCCACTTGAAATGATGCTGAATGCCTGAAGATCACAGGCCGGTAGGGGAAAAGCCTTGTGGATCCAATGGCAGGGCTCTGGCTGCCATCAGCGTGGCTCCATGTGGCTTGTCAACAGGAATGTGAACCAGAGAGAGAGTGTGTCCTTCCTCCAAGGAGAAAGAGAGGGGAAAAAAAGAAAAAGAAAGACAGAAAGTTCCAAGATTCCTCATCAGAAGGTCAGACTTGCCAGGAGGTATCTTCAGGCTGTGACCTGATTGACCGTCTAAAGTCCACCCCTTCCCTCTATTTACCAAGTTGATAGGAAATTATGTCATGATCACACTATCTTTAGCTGTTTGCTTTATGTTATAAAATTAAACCTTTCTAGCGAGGTGGTATATTTATTTATGTTCTGGGAGTTACGAGTGAGGATGCAATTCAGAGTTCAGGAAATGAGTCCTTAACATTCCCCCCTTTTCACTAAAAAGAAAAGGAAATCCTTTCATAACCTATTTTTAAAACAGTCCAAAGTCTTTTGAGGCAAACGCTTGCTTTCCTTCTTCCCGACATGTTAACGTGTTTCCTTTCTGCCTCAGGTACAGTGTGCAACCTGCATTGTCTTGAGGATGTTGATGTTTTTGAAGAACGATACAGACAGTGGGGACTCGACTACATGTTTGAAAAGTTATATCTCATTACAGAAAAGTAAATGAGACCAAAGATTAAGTAACTCCAATTTTCTTTTTACTTTTTATTGTGATTTAGGATGGGGTTTGCATGTGAGATCATCTTTGTATCCAACAACTTCTACAGCTTGTCAAACTCCCAGTTGCCCTGAACACTCCTTTTGTTTTCTCTTCTCCCTCTTGTAAGATAATGTCCTTCGTTTTTCCCATGTTCACAGTCCGTTGCTTCCCTGCCCTCCTCTCTGCCCCACCCCATCATCAACTTGTTTTGAACATTGAAATTTGTGCCAAGCTATGAAAAGAAAATGATTGACACCAAATATTTTCTCAAATCACATGAATGATCTTTGGTCACAAATATGTGTAATTTTTAAGGAAAACCCAAAACCACATACTACAAAGTGGCTACCTTTTAAGAGGACCGTCTTAACTGAAGGCCAGAGCAAATGCTACCTAGATGGATGCTTAACACATTCCACAAAGCATCTCTCAAGCTTCTGTAAGTGGAACTCTATTGGCTGGTGAAGATTGGCAGTGCCGTGGGCCGCCAAAAGAACAGAAGAAACCCGCCTTGGAAGAAGTACAGCCGGAGTGCTCCTTAGAAGCGAAGACAGTGAGACATGTCACGTTTGAACATGTTGCCGGGAAAGACCTGTCCCTGGAGAAAGGGCATCGTGCTTGGTGCAGTAGAGCGGCAGCAGAAAGGAGAAAGGCCTTCGACAGGGTGATCGACACGGTGGTGCAACGATGGGCTCGGGTGACAGTGATTGCCAGGCTGGCACAGAGCTGGGTGGCCCATTCTGCTGGACATTGGGTTGCTATGCGTCGGAACTGGCCCAACACCTAACAACCAGGAGAAATGTTTATAATCAGCATGGAATACGTGTGTCATTGAAAAAGAAAGGCAGCGCATATAACTTAGAAATAGACTTTGGCAACTGGACCGTTTTGGGTAAAATTTAGAACGAATGATGACTTTAATGCATTAATGAAGTGCAAGGTAGCAGAAAGTGGTCTGCATAATTATATAAAATATCAGCTTTTACTGTAATGGCTCATTATCCTTAAATCACACACTCATTTTCACTATCTCCTTATATAATAATTTATATGAGAAACAAAATTGAAGGTATCAACCTATATGAAGCAAAGTACTTTTTAATCCTCTGAAAATTAAACTTTTTCCTGAATTTTCTGTGTTTTGGTTTGTTGCTTCTTTCTTTAGGTTTATCTGTTTGTCTGTGGGAAGTTCATTAGACAGAGGGCTGGATTCATGATTACGCATGAAAATTTTAGATTCAAAACTTCATGGTTCTACATTAAGAGTCACTTAGATTGTACTAGAATAGGCGTGTCATTGGACTGCACCTAGTTATAGCACCGAATACCTAGAAAGTGTGCAGGGTTTAGCCCATGGAGTGGGATGCTGTATTTTCTTTTTTTAGGCTATTTTGTGCGCTCTATTGAGTTGTTAGGTCCTTCCCAGGCAGTACTACTCATAGTGGCCCTGGTCTCCAGGGCCGTCCTCTGTCACTGCCCCTGACTTTACCAAGCATGAGGTCTCTTTTCAGGCTCTGGTGGTGCCCTGCCAACATGTCCAAAGTACATGAGAGGAAGTCACGCCGCCCTTGCCTCTAAG